AGTGTGTGTGCGGTGCGGTGGTTAGCGTGACACAGCGCCAAACCAGACTTATTTTTTTCCTCAATGGAAAGCATATTTACACTGTTTGAATCGTTCCCTGTCCCCTATATAGTGCACTACGTGCCATTCACTGCACAGAAAATACTAATTCTGTGGACAAGTGACCGATTTCAGCCGTGGCTTTATAGTATTTTATAGTGTAGGGGGCGGGGCTTCGGATTCTAGAGAGCATTTGATTGGACAGAAAGTTTGATGAGAAGCTGAAGTACGATGTGACATGAAGTGAGGAACTGCAAGCTTTGAATGCTTATATCTTCTAAATGCGAATTTTGTCACTGTTTTGGAGCACACTGCCATATATATATCCTTAAGACTAACATATTGATACTAACTTTAATTTTGATTTCATGGGGACTTTAAGGCTACAGAAGACATAAGTGAATAGGGTAAGGTTTTAACTAATAGATATCACTATACATTTAATCAATCATAGTACATTGAAACACAAAACTGTTACATTTAAATATGCAAATGAGGTAATATTTAATTAGAAATCTGCTAAAATTCTTGTTTGCTGACGTATTAGAATTAAAGGTTTTTACAGAGGAGATTATGTGCTTTTGTTAATTTTATTAGCTTGTTTTTTGTATTTAATTTATAAAAATCTTTTTATAAAATGGATAGTTCCGGTCCTTGATTCTGATTGGCTGAGCCACGTTCGAAGCTGTTGTAAATTACTCTACAAACATACACCTTTGTTTACGTTTGTGTGTTGCTCGGTAGTTCTGAGGAACTAAATTTTTTGGTGGAAGAATACTGTCTTTATTTATATCATTACACTTTATTTGCTCTGTTTTATTTTGTGAAACCTTACTACGCATATGGAATAACCGTTTTATAAAAGCAATAAGCCCCGTGAAGCCATGGTTTACAGTGAATTTATAACAGCTAAGGGGGTTTTAGGCATTTCGCTTCACGTCGTACCTAACAACGCCCCTTAGCTGTTATAAATTCACTGTAAACCACGGCTTCTTGGGGCTCATTGCTTTATTATTTTTATTTCATTTTTAGTTTTTATGTATTGACAGTTAATCATTTTGGTGTTTTATCTTAAACTTCAAATAAACTGAATTTATTTAAAGCTTTACATCTAATAATTATAATTTTATGTCAACATTATTTCAGTTAACGAAAATGTTTTTAATAGTTTTAGTTAATAATAGCCCTGCTTCTTAAGGGCTTAAATTTACAAAAAGATAATTTATTGACCCTTCAACTTAGTAGTAAATGTTGTTACTCTTTTTTTAATGCAAAGAGGTCAAATTTTTAATGCAAAGACTTGGCAAAAAAGAAAAAACCTTCACCAAAGTCTCTGTTTTAGCCACATGCACCACTGACATGCGTTTGGGTTTGGAAATTCTGGAGAGCTGCTCAAAACCCCTCAACACTTCAGTCTAATTCTTGTTTTAATATTGATATAAAAACATGGGCGTCGGAAGCAACAAAAAATGTGGGTGGGTCCAACATAGTGTAACTGTAATTCAATGCTGCAACAAAGACTATATGATGTCTTTAAAAGCAACAGGCGAACAAATGATGAACATTCACTTAAATAACAGCTTGTTTAGTGACAGTATGTGAGCACACAGCCAGACCCACCTGAGCAGCAGAGATGCTAATAATTGTTTACCTTGCTGTGTTGAGGGAGTGCAGCAGGCGCGAGTAGTGAAAACACGGAATGGAGTTTAATTTATATGGACTCTGAATGAACCAAGTGGAATGGATTTAAGGAAGCAGCAGCGTGGAAGTCAAGGCTGTAGCTAAAACGCAGAATGGAGTTTAATTTATTAGGGCATTCCTCAAGTGGAATGGATTTGACTGACGGCGCTCTGAAAAGTGAACAGACATATGCGCTAGGGGTTGAACAACTTCTGATTTTTTAAAGTAAACTTTTACGTGATGAAAGTCGAGTCGAAGTCGACTAGTCGCTGATGATGTCTTTAATGAACAAATAAGTCTGGAGCTGTGATAAACAGCTTGTGCACAGCTATGGCATATGACACATGGCTATTGCTCCTATAACAGCTAATTTTTATCAGTTCTTTTGTCTTATGGGTCGTTATATTTCTCACAGATTTCTGCTCGTTCTAAATCAGATACAGATGTGGCAGCGATTGCGTGTCTGAATTAATTCTACCTGGCAGCATCTCTCTACTAGTAGTGAAGCTGTGGGATTAATATATGCTTGAACTTTTCGGTTTCTAAGCTATTTTATTATGAAATCACTGAACAGTATTGACAATACATTTCCGCGCTGAATGATTCTGTGCGCACGCGATGTGTGCGTGATGTACGAGCTACTGTCTGTAATGTGTGTGCGTTACAGTGCAGCAGCGCATTAGATTAGAACGGAGATTAATTTACCTGTGCAATAAGCTGTTTAAAACGTGCATTCTCCTGTTCAATTTCGAGCATCCAGTAATATAAATCACACTCACACATGTCGTGGAGCGCTTTCAGAGTATGTATTTATTTGTCATTTTAACTGTTTGGAAACAGAGCGTAAATGTGGAAGTCCTTCAAAGATTTCTTATCCTGTTGCGCCCTTTATAGGACCAGCGACTAGTCGATGTCAAGCTTAAAGCGTCATGGCAGAGCATTGAAGTCGACTAGTCGATTAGTAGATTAGTCGGTGCAACCCCTAATATGCTGAATTAACTAAAAGTGAGTGGGTCCAATATCATTGGTCTCATTTGTCCCACCCACATACAATGGTTCCGACGCCCATGTATAAAAATAATCATGAATCATAGCAAGCAGATCCATGAAATCAGTTTTTTTTTTTTCACAAATTCTGTGTTTTCTGGTTTAATTCTTTGGATTCTGTTTTAATGCTTTGATTAAATTTTAATAACATGTCTAATCAAGTGAATTCATACATTTTTAACAATTTAATATACTATAAAAATCTTAATACTATGAATTGTTAATATAAAAAATTATTTGTTGTGTGTTTTAATGTTTCTGGATTCTGTGTTTTATGATTTGAAAATGTATTACCAAAAACCATAAAACAAATGAATGCATAAAATATTATTTTAATTCATATTTTAAATGTAAATCAAATGAATTAAAAAAGCTACTAAAAACAAAGTGAAAACAAAGCTGAATAACAAACTGCTGCACAACAGAGATTTATTATTGAAATTAAAATATGAATGGAAAATTGTATAACATTGAGTGATATTCCATAAAAAAGGTTTTAATAAATTATATTCTTATTATTATTATTAAGTTGAGAAGTACATTCTACTATTCAATAATAATACATGTCTGTCACAATTTCTTCAAGTTAAACCAAACTTTTATTTTGGCGTTTTTCTGTGTGCATTTGATGACAGTTTTGATTTATTCATCCAAAATTACATTTTTATGAACGGATTCTTCTGTTCCGTGATTTCTGTATTGCAGAAATCACTTCATTAAGTTTTGTTGCAACAATGTAAGTTCTGCTCATGGCTGAATAGTCAATAACTTAACTGTTAACCACTGCAGAGTCTTAAAGGGATAGTTCGCCCAAAATGAAAATTACCTGTAAGACCTTCGTTGATCTTGGGAACACAAATTAAGATATTTTTGGTGAAATCCGAGAGCTTTCTGACCCTGTAGAGACAGCAATGCAACTGACACGTTCCCAGGCCCAGAAACTTAGCAAGTACATCATTAAAATAGTCCATGTGACATCAGTGGTTCAGCCGTAATGTTATGAAGCTACGAGAACACTTTTTGTGCACAAAAACAAAAATAACGACTTCACTCAATTTGTAGAACATGCATGTGCTGCACCTTGTTTACAAACAGAGGAATGCACACATGCGTCGTGGTACTCTTGTGAATGACAGCGATGCGGGAACGTGTCAGTAGTGTTGCTGTCTATGGAGGGTCAGAAAGCTCTCGGATTTCATCAGAAATATCTTAATTTGTGTTCCGAAGATAAACAAAGGTCTTGCGGGATTGGAACGACATGAGATTGAGTAATGCTGGGTGGTATACCGGTTCATACCAAATACCGAAAATGTTTATTTTTGTTATGATATGAATTTTTTAATGTCGCTTAAACACATGCATGAAAAAAAAATACCGTCATGTACAGTGAAACCGGTATAATTTTGAAAAATACCGTGATATAAATTTTTGCTCATACCGCCCAGCACTCTGAGTGAGTAATTAATGACAGAATTGTAATTTTTGGGTGAACTATCCCTTTAATTATAAGTTGCACCTGGTTAAGGACACATGGTCAAAAGTTCTCTTACCCAAACCCTCAGACTCAAACAGATAGGTCTCGTCCACTCCTATGTGACGACACCAGGACAGAAAATTCGCTGTGTTGTCGCGGGCGAAAAACGATCCAGGGGAGGCGTTTTTCTTGAACTGGATTTTCTTTAAGGGCAGCTGTTAACAAAACAGAGATGGGAATTACACGCTAACAGTCCTGCGGTTATGCGAGCTGCGTCACCACATCACACGTTCCTTACGCACCTTTGTTTCCGAGTCCTGTGGGATTTTACTCTGCAGAATTCCAACCAGGCAACACAGTTTGACACCGTTGTCCAGCTCCTCCATGAAGCGTTCGGCTGTCACCTGCTCGCCTGCAAAAACACAAATATCTCCATGTTTCCAACAACTATGTAACTGACTTACATGTTACTAAATAACCTTTAACTGAATTCAGCATCATTATGCCATCACAAACTGGCTTTGATGATTAGAAGTTCAATATATTCATATTTTTCACATAGAGGGCAAAACAAGGCTTTCCTGCCAAGTATTAACATACTAAAACAGTGATATTAAAAGGCCAGATTCAGTATATACCTTACTGATGATGCACACTATATACAGTTAAGCAGATGCACCCAGAATATGAAAACAAGTTACGCAACATGCTCACTTGTACGCCAAGCATTTTCCCATAGAAAACCATTACAAACAAATGTGGCTTAATACATTAAGATGGACCAAATTCAGTATACACTATATTAATAAAGCATACAGGCAAGCAGATGGGCCCAGAATGTGAGCGCATTGCGCAAAGTTTCACGTTAAGCAGGTTCTTTATAATGGTTTTCTACGGGAAAATGCTTATATTTGCATTCATATTCTAGGCTCATCTGCTTGTATATAGTATGCATCATCAAAAAAATGTATACTGAATGTGATATTTTAATACCACTATATAATTACACGTTAAAGGTGCAGTAAGTAATATTGTCAACTAGTGGACTGACTGACTCCACGCTCACACGGGTTGCCAGATTGAGAAGACACAACAGGAACAACCTTCCTATTTCTCAGGTCATAGACCTTTTTAGATGGATGTCGAGGCTTTATCAGGTCAGGTAGAATCTTCAATCTCTGACCCAGTTGGTTTGCTGGTTTGGCTGCAACACGCTGTGTTTTCCACCAACTGGCAACCCGGGGTTTCAAAATCCTATTGGGTAAAACTGGCAGTGGGCGGAATCACACAGACCAACACAAAAACAGGCATTCCGACATGGAACACACATTTTAAAGTAGAATAACTGGCTGAAGCATTGTTTTTTAGGAGAAACAAGTATGTGAACTTGGCATGTTGCCTTAATATCTGCAAACATATGGTATTTTTATGCTTTAGTACAGTCAAAACATTATATACAGCACCTTTAAGTACAAGATGGAACCTTCACAATGAGGCAAAAAAAGTCACTTTCCAAAACCTTCACTCTCTCTATTCTCCTCTTTTCTAGCTTGCCTAATCTTGCCTTAAAAGGAACACTCCACTATTTTTTCATTTTCCAACTCCCCTAGAGTTAAACAGTTGAGTTTTGCCATTTAACTCAACTGTTTAACTCTAGGGGAGTTGGAAAATGAGTCTATGTTCAAAAATAGTGGAGTGTTCCTTTAAATAGGAAAAATATAGAAACTCTTTGGTAATTTTTGAGCGAGATGCTAACGGTCTAATCAGATTCAATGATCTATCCTAAGCTAAGCTAAAAGTGCTACCGCCAGACCCGGAGATCGGCGGAATGGATTCGAAAACGGTAAAATTCAACTGTTTAACTCTAGGGGAGTTGGAAAATGAGCCTATTTTCAAAAATAGTGGAGTGTTCCTTTAATCTAGTTGTCTAATAAACCGGGCATTGTATATTATGAATATTGTTTTCCCTTTGACGAATTGCTGTGTTCCTCTTTTGTAAATCACTTTGGATAAAAGCATCTGCCAAATGCATACATGTACAGTAAACTTGACAGGCCTGTGCTGCAATTCTATGGCCGTTTTGCCCTCCAGGTCTCTGCGCCGGTCACGTGACCAAAAACTACGAATAACACATAAAATTCACACTTATGATGCTACAATCACCAGCACCGTCAGTGGAAAATGAACGAGGTTGACAGCACAAAACAGTCACATTTTAGTATTTTGTTCAAATTCCACAACGTATTCAGTGTATTATCTGAAAGAGGACTATAGGATTACAAGGACTTAAACTAAAAAAAAAAAAAAAGGCAACAAACAGAGCAATAGGTTTATGGGTGAACGTTCTTTTGACCCGGGTGAACATGCTCAGCATGTGGACAGACAGGTAAAGGCAACACCCTCCATTATTCTACAAAGACTGAGAGATTGAGTTCTTGTTTCGGGGGTCGTATATCACCGTTATACGAGAGCGAACGTCGTTTCCCACACTTCTTTGCTTGATATATGAGGCTTTGGGTTTCAGTTATTTGACCGACGAAAGGAAATGGCATTTAGACTTATAATGGCAGTAATTTTTCACTTTCGTGCGCTGATAGTGAGTCATAGACATCTTGTTTTGCATGAGCAGGTTTACCCAGCATGCCACTCAGCCAGATGGCCAGATACTCCTGCATAGGTACCAGCGTGGCTTCGTGTCGCACAGCCAACCACTGGTCATAATGGAACACATCAGCCAGACCCGGGCCGGGCCGGGGAGAGAGCAGGCCGCGAGGACTCTGTAACGGGACATCAAACTTCTCGCCGAACCAAGCCTGAGAGAGAGAAAGAGGAAAACCAGACAGCTTAACATGTGCACACAGAGAAGCACACACAATGACCCCTCACACAGATTCCATGCTCTCTCTCTGGAAACTCCTACCCTGCTGAAATCAGGACAGTTTGCAAACGCTCAAGCTCTAACAAACACGACAAATCAAACAAATGACAACTTACACAAGCAGAGGAGTAATAACATTTAGATTAAACAACACTCCCATAAGAGAACTTGTGGTAAAACCTCTCACAAGCTTCACACAAACATGCTGAAGTTAAAAACTTGGGGTTAAGTATTCAAACAAACCCCTAACCGTGAGTATGAGTAATACTACTAGTGATAGACACTTAATATTCCGTAATATTAGTGATTTGACTGCACCGAATTGACCTGAATCGATATAATGACAATGTTCTAACAATGTTTTGCTAACATTTTCTCCAAACATTTAAAATGAAACATTTAACAAAAAACAGGCCAAAAACATTTTTTGAGGGGAACGCGAACGTTAAGGGAACATTGCATTTTGCAAACTTTATATGAATGTTACTTTTGAATGTTCTCTGAAAGTTCTGAAACAAGTAGTAACATTTCAAAAATGTTACACGAAGAAATGAAACGTTCCATGAACTATGTATAAATAATTTTTTTGCGCTAACATTTTGAGAACATTATTAAAGACCAGATAACTTTGAATTAACGTATTAATGTAACTGAAAGAATGTTTGTTCAAAACTGTGAACATTTTCAGCTGCGGAGCTGCTTTATAGCTGAATTAATTTCATTTCATAATAGATGGATTTTGCAACAAACACTGTTATTGAGGTGAACTGAATCAACACTGACTGAACTGACTTGAGCTGAATAGACACTATTGTCTTTTAGAGCTGTTTTAAAGCCGAATTTTAATCGGTCTCATATTTGAAGAAGTTGATCACGGATTCTTTTCTGTTTATTACTTCAAAGCTGCTTTGAAACAATCTGTATTGTATAAAGCGCTATAGAAATAAATGTGACTTGACTGAGACTGAGGCAGAACATCTGTTTGAAACACGCAAACAACACAACCATAGAAACATTCACCATTACTCTGCACGAGCCTAAATCACACTGCTGTGCTGGGAAGGACTGAAAAACAAAAGCACTATTTTAAAAATCACACACAAGCAGGCCACTCAGAGAGGAATCCCATAACCCTTTCTGCACATATGAACCCTGCTGTTCCCACACATGCACCAAACTCCCATGAGAAACCGAGAGCGAGAGCTTCAGGCTCCTTCTAACACACATATAGAGCACTTCTTCTGCTTGCACACAAAGCCTGACTAATTAAACAGGAAAGCGTTTCCATGTGGGGGTGTTTTATTCCTATTATATAAGACATCCAAGATTACCATTCCATAGCAGATTACAGTCAACTCTACTCGGTTAAACTTGAAATGTATTGCCAGTGTTTGCTTGTGGAGCGCTCTATTTCTCACTTATGGTTGTTAATTCAATGCAAACATTCTGGTGTGTTCAATCAATCACACGCACACACAAATGTTTCAATGGCATTACATAATGTAGTCAGTTCACACATGACATCTGATTTTACAGATGGACACATGCTGAACTACAAATCACTTCTGATCCAGACAGGATGGTGTGAAACCAACAACTCACGTCTGTGATGATCTAATTGGAATGTTCACATTCAAACTTCAAATTCGAAGCAATTTAGAACACAAATGGCGGGAACCATCGCCCTGAAGCCATATGGAGTCAGGTGTCCTGTTTAAGAAAAGAGCAGGTGTATCAGAGTAGTTCTTTTCAACATATAATAGCTTAAATGTATAAGGAAGTTAGAGATGCACTATTTTTGTTACATTAGTTATCAGTTTATATAAGAGAATTAATTTATTGGTATCAGTCAGTATAAGATATATAATTGTGCATGCATTTAATGCAAATGTGTACATTTAGATTAGCTTTGTCACCTAACACTCACTTAAAGTTAATCTTATAAATATAGATTTAATAACAGTGATAATCCATTCCAATCCAAATGAATACATTTTTAATACTGTACATAATGTTTGTGATGTAGCATTTAAAATCAAGTTTTTAATTGTTTTATTTTGACAAAAAAAACAAAAAAAAAAGTATAGAATGATATCTGCCATAACATGTAATAATTCTCATCTTATCCATCTTCCAGACTTTATATGGATATAGTAGGTCACACCAAAGGAAAATGCCATCATTGTTTGACTTTATGTCATCCACCCATCTGAACATGAAACTCTTCTCTAGCTCAGATCTTGACCAACAACAATCACCAACATCATTTTCCTCGAAAACCATATTCAAACTATCATAACTGTGATTAAAAAAGCTGTTCTCGAGGATGCAGGTTCGAGAGCTACTCTAATTGGAAAAAGCACATAAATAAAAAGCACATAAAATCATAAAGTCGCATACCTGCAAACCAGCCTGAACTGCCATCATTAGTTACAAGAGAGATTCACGTCCACATTCTGAAAGAGAGACAGATAAAAAAACTTTAAAGGAGTCTGATAAAAACAGACACACATCAGCTCAGACACGCCAGTTATTTCCTGTAAACACAAACACACACTGTTCATGTCAGTTTACTCCACTTAAACCTTGCTGTCCCATCGCAGGATGGATAATCATCGCCTGCAGCTCATTGCCAATTTTTTATAATGAAAAAGTTTCAAATAAAGAATGAAGAAAAGACCTAAATCACTGTGACCAAATACCAGAGAGATAGACATAAAGAGACTGCAGGATTAAGACAGTTCAGTCAACATTAAGCACAGCTGAGGAAACAAAGCAAATGTCTCCTGTCCCTAAACACACACTCACACACTTAACACTCACACAATAACAGCCACACACACATGCTGTCAGTGACACACTCATGTGAATCCTAAATCTGCATCATCTTCTCAGCGAGACGCTCACCCGAGGAGCACACGCACACACAGACGAATCCAGTCCAGCTGCCAGCAGACAATCCACCTGAACACCCCAACGCAGTAAATCACAACACACACTCCTGCAGCGACTCACTGACAGAGGATACGAGCGCGCGAGAGAGAAAGGGAAACACAGATTGACTAATGAAGCCACTCAGCAAACCCCCAGCCAAGCATTTACAATGGTCCTATTGTTACAACCCCCTCGTTCGCTCTCACAAACACACACACACACACACACACACACACACACACGGAGTCCAAGGTTCGTTCGCTTGCGCTCAGTCCTTCCCAACAAACTCCTCCATGACAGCACACAAAAGAATCTGGAAATTTTTTGAAGGTCTCCAAGAGAATAAACAATCGCTTTCACTCTTCACCCAGACACAAAAAACCACAGAGAGCGAGAGAACAAGTTAATTACTGGAGGAACAGCATGAGAGCTCAAATCAAGTGCACTTCAAGCCCACAAAATGTCAAGCGGAGGAGAACAGCGGAGGACACACAAACCCAGAATTGATGTCTGCGGGTTATGAAGCGGGTGGCAGTGTGGCTCCGGGTCTCAAGGGCCACATTCCTCTGTCAGAAAATAACGGCTGGTGGAAAGAGTCCGTCACTAACGGACACGCTGGCCAAGAGACGCGTCCAACCGCTCTGGGTTTATTTACAACAGAGTGTGCCTCTAAAATCTACCTCGTCTCTTTAATGGAGAAAGGCTGTTTGTTCTGAAATTAAAACACTGTCATCATTTACTCACCCTCATCATGTTGTTCCAAAACATGCAATTATCTTTTTCAGACAAGGAGATATTTAGCAGAATCTCAAAAGTAGATGATGACAAATAGTTGTCAAGCTTCAAAGGGACAAAAAAAAAGTATGAGTAAATAATGACTCAAAATTGATGTGCTATTTTCAGAAGAATTTAAATATGGACTAGATTTATGATGCATGAGTAAAAATCCCTTTAAGACATGACTAATTAAAGTTCCAGCCTAAATTACATAATTCCCTTTATGAAAAAGAAAATCACATCTAGCAGATTCTCAAAAATAGAAGGTGACAAATAGCTGTCAAACTTCAAGTAGGACAAAAAAAGTATCATAAAAATAACAACGAATAATGACTATTACATACTAGTAGTACATGAGTCTGGATTAGCTTTATAATGCCCTTTTATGTACCATGACATTCCCTTTGAAGGAAAAAAAAAACACTTTTTGAATTAAAATTAAATGCTTCCTTTTATGTTCCATGGAACAAAGAAATCCATTTGAAACAACATGATAATGCATAAATCACAGAGTTCTATTTTTTTTTCTTTTAACTATTTAAACTTTCTGCCCAAAACACAGACAGATAAAAACATGAGTAACTCCGATAAAAGACGCCCACAAAAACAAGAGAAATAAAGACAGTGACTTTTGCAGCAGAAATGAGGCTGGGCAGAACATCAGACAGAACACAATGCATTCTAACGTAGTAATCCCACTATAATGAACGTCTGCGTGAGGTACAGTCGATTTGTCGCTTTAATTAAATGCGAGGACACAAAGGGAGCGAGGGCTGGGGTGTTCACATGGCTCCTCAGGTCACCACATAATCATGTAAGAGGATCACGCTTCCAGACGCATCCCCGTTGGCCTGCTGCTCCTCCTCTCTCTAGACGTGAGCTGACACGTGGCACATGCATGTTTGTTTGCATGTATGTGCACCAGTGGCTTGCACATGGGTCCCAAATATAGCCGGCCATCAATCAAAGCCCCTCCCCTTCCTGCTCTTTTGTGGTGTTGATTGTGATCTTAATTGGCCTGTCAGTTGCTTTCATTAGTAGGCAGAGCCATCAACACACACACAAACAGAATTAATGGTCCCGGAGAGGATGGGCGTCCGATAAACCACGGGTCAGAAGCCCATCCCCCGTAAAGCAGAGTAAAGCCCCTCTTACACACCTGCAACTAGCTCTGGATCAGCGATTTTAAAAAATCCATGCACACCTCACACAAAGTTTGTTTGGTTGTTGGAACAGATTTGGAGAAATGTAGCATTGCATCACTTGCTCACCAATGGATCCTCTGCAGTGAATGGGTGCCATCAGAATGAGAGTCCAAACAGCTGATAAACATCACAATAATCCACGAGTAATCCAAACTCCAGTCCATCAATTAATGTCTTGTGAAGCCAGAAGCTGCGTGTTTGTAAGAAACAAATACATCATGTTTTTAACCTTAAACCGTTGCTAAAATGCAAGTCCATAATCCATAATAATACTTCCTCCAGTGAAAAAGTAATCTGGTCTGAATCAGAAGAGAAATCTGCACAGATCAAGCAGCGTTTACAAGCCAAAACAGTTCAAAACAAATAAGTGGGTAGATTTTGATGTGAGAGACAACAGGGGATGAACGTTTTCACTGAGGAAGATGGATTTGTTTCTTACAAACACGCATCTTTTCGGTTCACAAGATGTTAACTGCTGGACTGGAGTGGTGTGGATTACTTGTGGATTATTGTGATGTTTTTATCAGCTGTTTGGACTCTCATTCTGACGGCACCCATTCACTGCAGAGCATCCATTGCTGAGACACTGATGCAATGCTACATTTCTCCAGATCTGATGGAGAAACAAACTCATCTACATCTTGGATGACCTGAGGGTGAGTACATTTCATTTTTGGGTGAACTATTTCTTTAACCAACACCGGCTGTGTCTCGAAATCTAGTACGCTCCTTACCTTGACAGCATTCAAAAGTTGCAATAAACTCACAATGCCCAAAAATATACGAACATGCTTAAAATGCTGTCTAGTTGAGGAAAATGCCTAGGTTTTGGGACACAGTCAAGACAGGAGTCACATCAGGCTTTAGAAAAATCACTTCACACAATTTGAAGTATAATCCCTATTGAAAAGACAAGAGGAAAAACTATGTTCTCATGCTTCTACAATTACAAAACAAAGCTGCAATTCACCAAAACAAAGCGATCAACACAGCTCACCATAACAATGACCTCACCGCAATGCTTCGGAAATAAAAAGATCCAGAATTGCACGCCAATCTACAAAGTCTAAAACATAAAACGAGAGCTGTTCACACTCTTTAAAATAAAAGCTCTAAAAGGGGGTTTACGCAGCGATGCCACAGAAGAACAATTTGGGTACCACAAAGAACCTTTCAGTGATCAGTTCTTCAGAGAACCATCAACATCAATAAAGAACCTTTATTTGTGCAGGACACCAATGCTGGCAAAACCGGCACTTAAAACCAATGGAGACGCTCCATAGCATAATGTAAACAGAAGCCTTTGTCATGGTGATGCAATGACTTGTTATAAGACACTAACAATTAACCATTCAACAGCAAGCACAGAGGATCTGCTGCACCCCCGTCCCACTAATCATCTGCTCTGGATCATTAATAAACGAACAGTAATCCAAGATTCATAACAATGGCCAGCATGTGCACCAGAGATCATGGGAAATTAATCCCAACATTCATTTATTTCAGGATTTCCCCCTTCACCCTCCTCTCAAGCTCAAGAACCCCCTGATGCCATGTATCAGGCAGATGGTCGGTAAAGCTGCAGGATATGGGGTGTTTTTGGGGCGGCTTACAAACAATCATAGAATTCAAGATGTCATGAAATCCACACTAAATTCTAAATGCATGTTATAGAGCTTATTGTGAACGATTCATCTGTGCATATGTTTCAGAATTTTTTATCAAAAACAGGACCTTCTGGTGGAAGACGTCATCAGAATATGGAAGTAAAGATCTGCTGCTACTTCTGTTTCATCGCAACTTTAAAATAAAAAACTCAAACCTGAAGCAACAATTGGTAAACAATCAGTGCATTTCCCCCCCTATGCAGTTATATGTATCAACTCTTGGAACATATAAAAAATAAATACAAATCTTTCATGCAACAGTTTCGTTATTAGTGTTCGATGTGTTTTCAATGGCCAATGCCAACACTGATATCTTGAAAGCAGGTTTGCAGATAAAACTTTTTACATCATTACATCATTTAAATATGAGAACAGTTTAATCATGGCAACAAAATTCTGGAAACAGACACGTTTTACCCAATATTAAACTGATACATCTAGATACCCAGATTAATTGATATGGTTTTAAAATGTCCAAATATCGGTTGATTTATCGATTTTTCACTACTTGTGCTATAGTATTTCTTATTGTAAGCTGCTTGGGAGCTTCGACTTAAATAATTGCAAGTTATTAACAACATGTCACAAAAGAATAACTAAGCTTCCTGAAATGGTTTACAGGCACATTTAATCTGTTAACAGCACTCCAGCATGACCAAGAGAGTCTTTGGCAATAAACAGCATTCCCTGACAGAGCTCAAGGACATGCTGAAAACTTTATGGTAGTTTCCATTAGGAAACACCTGCAGTTTTCCCCTCCTCTGGTGCTGGATGTATATTTAGCACACATCTCTGAGGCTGATGATACTCGGGGCAACTTTTTGAGTATCATCCACGTGTATCATCAGCCTGAGAGATGAAGCAATAACATTCAGTCTAAAGCTCAGATGACCGTCATAATGAGCAGTTTTAATGAGATACATGGCTGAATATGAAACATGTTTGGGCAACATCTCAATGTTCCTGTAGAAACATGTATCTGTCAATCACCACTGACTCATTCAGAGACATACAGCTCAATATTTTAAGATCACATTAGTTCAAACCATTAAAATATGATCCACTATCTCAAATACGTGCGTTGTATTTTTAAAGCTGCCGTGATAGAATGCATTGATACAGTATTTTAAATGCATGGTGATTCATCACGCATTTCCATGGAAAAGTCATGCAACTTCCTTACAGCTCTCATCTTTCAGTGAAAATGCCAAAAATAAACAACAGAGACCGGCTTTTATCACTTAAGACAGGTTTGTTGACATTTTATTCCCGTATTCTCTTTTTAAACAAGCACATAAACATCATATAAACAAAGCCCTCTCTCTCTCTCTCGCTCACTCACTCCCGTCTGGTTTCGAGAGTCTGGAATTGAAAAAAAAACAACATGAATAAACTCACCAGCGTTGAATGTGTGTGTCTAGGTGTGTGTCAGTAACTAGTCGTCTTCATTCAGGTTTCGCTCCGCGGCTGCAGGGGCGTGTACGCCGGTCCCAGCATCAGCTGGAGCTGGAGCTGCTTCTCATCCACGCGTCTTGGAATGTTCAGTTGAGAGGGATTCGCGGTTCAAAACAGCCAATCAGAGCGCAGATCTGAAATTCTCAATGGAAAGGGGCGGGGACTTGAGAGCAGGTGGGCGGTCCCTATTTCAATGCACACAGGACTGAAAACAAAAAGAGTAGAGAAGACATTAACATGGTTATTGTTTCATATATTTTTATGCCGAGATAAAAAGAATGTATAAGAAACACTGTATAGCTAACACATAATATTCTTTAATTCTTCAATTAAATATTTATTAAATAATATATAAGAATTATATTAAATAATTTTAAAAATAACATAAAAATGTCACGTTATTCTGTTATTAATGCTTTAATAAGATATTTAAGATCTCTCTGTGCCTATGGGGGATCTTTGTTTATTTGATGAGTAGGCCTATGTGCTTGTTTTAAAAGAGAATTTTATTAGAAAAATAATTAGATAGAATAAATATATAATATTTAATCATGTAAAAATTATATTGAATAATTTAATAAACAAACATGAAAATGTCGTGTGATTCTCATGCCAAAATATCTCCCTGGATCTCCCTGTAATTAATTTCAAAAACTCTGTAACACAGTTATGATTGGCCATTGGATATAAATTTGAGTCATAATCACAAAGCAGGATTTGTTTGTACAGGTAAAATCTGATTACGCCCTCTGGGTCACACGGGATTAAACCGGCCTCTCTCCACCCATAAAAACCCTCAAACAAACTCAGTTAATAAAAGAACATTTACAGGAGCTTTATAATAGAATTTTGAGGCCAGACATTTACATATTAATAAGCTTCACCAAAGGAATTTGCGAAAGGACGAATTTTACAGTAATAAAAAAAACATTCATGTTACTAATTTAATTCAGAAAGCTTGTCCATTGCGCCTCCATGTGGACGGTGTAAGGAAGAAACTTGGCGCCTACATCTCCCAGAAGTACTTGCGCGTGACGTCACGGCCGCAGCAACAGGAAGTGCTCCAACTGAGCCGTTGCTGTAAGATAAGGTAAGCTTTTCTCTTCATTTAAAATTATCCGCGGTGTTATTCGGAAATATAACAAAACAAAAAGTGTTTTTGGCTTCGTATTCGTATTTATGTACATGGCCTAGTATTTTATTAAAACAACTGGCGTGTTTATTTATGTAGAAGCTAATGCTAGGCTTCTTCCAAAACATTTGACACTTACGTTACCTTTCAGTTTTTCTGAAATCGAGACACATAATGTCTATAAATAATCCACAACATGACAGAAGTGGCAGGAAAACAGCTTTCCAGTGATCTGATCATCTGTAGAGTATAAGATTAGCTTTCTATTTTTTTCTATTCTATCTACTTGTTTTTCTTTGTGTGTGTGTGTAATATATATATATACACACCTTGCTACGTGTACTGCGTTAGGCTAACCGAGACTTGTCATTTGCACTTATATATTGTTGCTCTTTTGTTAGTTTTGACTGCTTTTATTGTCCTAATTTGTAAGTCGCTTTGAATAAAAGCGTCTGCTAAATGACTAAATAAATTAATAACAAATAAATAAGATTGTATTTAGGAACCCCTGAGCGCTGGGCCAGTTGCATAAACATAGCCACTGTGTTAAGGCGGTGTCTTAAGAACTAGTTTGACCAACTAGTTGTTAGCCAAGAGGTAATCAGACTACCTTTTGGATTCAGATGAGACCATTCTCCCTTGTTATAACTGACTTTAAGAAGTTATGACCAGTCTTAATGAGAAAAAATTAGATGACTAACTTTTTAAGTCTAGTCTAAGCGGTTTATGCAACCGGCCCCTGTGTGATCATGAGTTAAGTCACAGTCTTAAGTGTTTTTTGTGCTCTTCAGGAATGACCTGTACACTGGAGAAGGTGCTGGCCGATGCCAGATCACTGGTAGAGCGGCTCCGGGATCATGACGGTGCTGCTGAGATCCTGATCGAACAAAACACACTGCTGAACAAGAGAGTGGAGGCCATGAAACAGGTATCAGTGTTTGTCTAATGAACCAAATCACACTAATGAATCAAGTCTTACCCACACATTTCTTGTTCTTTCAGTACCAGGATGAGATTGAGGTGTTGAACCAGGTGGCGAGGCATCGGCCGCGCTCCACGTTGGTCATGGGCATCCAGCAGGAAAACCGGCAAATATGGGAACTGCAGCAGGAAAACAAAGGTGTTAGGAGGGTTTGCAATTAAAAGTTGTCGCTGGATGTCATTTTGAGGGCTGTTTTAAGTCTAAATCCGCACGCTTGTCTCGGCAGAGCTGCGCACGTCACTGGAGGAGCATCAGTCTGCGCTGGAGCTCATCATGAGCAAATACAGAGAGCAGGTGTTTCGCCTTCTGATGGCCAGCAAGAGAGACGATCCTGCTATCGTCACCCAGCTCAGAGAACAGCACACTAATGTCAGTCCCAGTGACGGATTTTATGAGATTCCCTCTAACGCTGGTGATCAAATAGTCATTCACTGTGTTTATGTCGCAGGAGATGCAGGCGCACATTGAGAAAATAAACGAAATGGCCACAGTGATGAGGAAAGCCATCGAGGTGGATGAAGGGCGACTGTGTGAGGATGAGGAGAGAATGAAACGTCTGGAGGTCAGACACACTAAATATACCACATTGAATTCGTTATTAAAATATATTGCAAACAATGGCACAAAATCAGTGTAAGAAAGATTAAAATAAACAATTATATTAGGCTGATATCACTTGAAGGCTTAATGCATGATCAGCACTTAAAAATTTTAGTCTGTTACTGATTACAAATTACATGAAGAAAATTGTAGTTAGTAACATTATCTATTAGATTACACATTTTAGGTAATGTAATCCGACTACGCTTTCATTACCTTTGACTTAACTTGTTTAACACATAGATTTAAAAGTCTTGCGTCATACTGATATATATATATATATATATATATATATTATTATTATTATTTTTTTTTTTTATGTAATATATTTAATATAAAAATAATTTAATGTCAATATATTACATTCTATTTTATTTGTTTACCTGCATATCATGTGGCCATTAACCAACATCCGAGACCTGTGAATGTGTTGTTAAATTATTGAAACAATAAAATCTTAAAGTCTCAGGGTGATTGGGTAAAGTAAATATTTAATATTTTAGGTTTTAAGGGGTTTGGCTGACAAAAAAGTAAATTACTGCCATTGTGTGAACATGTAATCAATAAACCCAGCTCAGAGAACAGCACACTAATGTCAGTCCCAGTGACGGATTTTATGAGATTCCCTCTAACGCTGGTGATCAAATAGTCATTCACTGTGTTTATGTCGCAGGAGATGCAGGCGCACATTGAGAAAATAAACGAAATGGCCACAGTGATGAGGAAAGCCATCGAGGTGGATGAAGGGCGACTGAGTGAGGATGAGGAGAGAATCAAACGTCTGAAGGTCAGACACACTAACTATACTGCAATAGGAGTCAGCGATCTGACCAATAATTTAGTTCACAATATGAGTCATTTTCTTTCACAAGTTATTTTTGATATTTGATCTTATATTCTTTATTAAATAGAGAACAAAGATGCAAAAATACAATATGAGAAAGATACAAATGACAGTGTATATTAGGCTGCTGTCACTTTATGCACAGTGCTTTTACTATTACTGATTACAAATTACATGAAGAAAATAGTAGTTAGTAGCATTATCTATTAGATAACACTTTATAGTTCATGTAATCTGACTACTCTTGGGTTACATTTGTTTATCACATGGATTTCAATAGGAAAACCTTGTACCATATTTATATATAAAAATACAAAGAGAAATAAAATATTTCATTGTGTTATCAAAAACATGAAGTGCATTAAACATCACATTATGTAAAGGTTTCCTAACCTAGGGTTCGTGAAGGAACTGCAAGGAGTTTATGAGTTGATGAAAAGCTAGAAATGAATTAAAACATGTAAATGTACAAATAAATAACTTTAAATTCATCAAAATAAAACACTTACTAAAAAAATAACTATATTTTCTATAGTTTTAATATATTAAAAAAAAGTACTGTAGTCTTGATTATTTTAATATTTTTATTTTAACTGATTATTATTTTGAGTATTTTAAAACATAATTTATTTTCATTTTATTTCATTTATCTCATTATTGAGTATTTTAAAATGTAATATAATTTTTTTATTTTTTATTTATCTGAATATTATTTTGAGTATTTTAAAACATAATATTAAGTTACAAGTACTACACAATCCACATCACATATAATCAGTTACTACCCAGCATGAAATAAATGGTCATACCGCCCAACCCTATAGTGCGATAAATGCAATACTTACAATGTAATCGTGATCTTATGGTTTATATGTTGATGTTGATTGTGCAGCTGGAGAACAGCGGTCTGCGAGAGCTGTTGGGAATCAGCCGCGAGGCGTTTCTGGTGCTGAAGCGAGACGACACGTCTGACAGCACATCTCTCTCGCCGCTGCTCACCAGCAAAGACGTCAGTCTGAGGAAGAGCTAAAGACCGTCAGAGATGAGTTTACAAACCATCGTTCAGAGCTGCCCTACAAATCCCACAATCCTCCATTACAGCGCACTCTGGATGTCCATCAGCCATTTAGCATGTGGGGTTTTGCAGGAAGGGCCTGTGGAATCTCTCAAACACTGAGGTCCGATTACTTTTCCATCTCTCAATCATCATGTCTTCAGTCTGGAAAAGTCAAATCGACTGAAAACACAATCATTTGTGGAATAAAAAAAAAAAAGATTTGGCATATTGTGAACGATTACTTTACCTGAACATGAGACTTTGGGGAATATCACAATATGCCATTTTAATGAAAAACTTTTTTTTTTTGCTTGTGTTTGTAACAGTGTTTTATGTGGGTATGAGTTTTATTGAAAGTGATTAAAAGCATTGAATGAACTGGCTGTGTTTTTCTCTAGTTCCATGGGTTGATAGTGTTGAATAAACTACTCAATACTTCAGGTTTTACAACATCTATAATTTAGTGTATTCAAATATCCAGCAGTGCATGTTATTGCATGCATAAGCACAAAATGCATTGCAAACGCT